AGGCCAACTAGCAAATACGGATACCATATCCCGCTTTAGGATGCAACTATCTTCGCGTCCTTCTCGGCATTTTCTTAGACTTAAATTACATAACCACTCGTTTGATTGGATCTTTGGACATTTCCGAACGTCGCAAAAAACCGCAATCAACGCGTCGGTATCCGTCAGAAATCGACCTTACCTTCACACGGGAGATAAATGACCAAGACTTGCAATCTATAGCTTAGGCCAATCGGACAATCGTTTTATGGGTTTAGTCAGATTTCGATGAGCAGGATTTGGAGATGAATATCGTAAAATAATCATAATCTCAAAGTATTTAGCTACTAAAACATGTATTGGTAATAATACAAATAGTCACATGCCAGCTCTTATTATTAGAATAATTGTACGCAACTGTACTTGGTCTTCATTATCAGACCATCACTGGAGGCCCACCAGCAAAACTCACAGCTTAGTATTTGCAACTGGAACGTATCAGACATACAAACTTAAGCGCATTTATTTCAGTGGTGCGTTGTAACCGTGACTTATCAAGTAAAATCGTGACTCATCAAGTAAAATCATGACAGCTTTCTACATATTGCCGCGATTTTACTTTCAAATGCGAGGTATTTCAATACCACACTTTTGATGGTTCCTTTACATTCAATGTACTTCAATGGGAGTATGTCTAGTACGTTGACCATTTGAAGGCTCGATCGGAAACTACGCTCACCTAAGGAGCATCTTTAGGGAGGGCATTGTTTCCACCTCATTTTCGATTTTGCAGTCGACACGCCTCACACCTCTCTTCACCCAACCAGTCTCCATGGTGCCTTTGCTTCTGGTGGCTATTGCCTTGCTCAGCAATTCTCTTACTGCTGTTGCTCATCAACTGATTCAGCAGCCCGAGCCTATCTGGAAGCCCGGGATTAACGATCGCGATACCAGATGGAGACCCCTCGCATTCCTCGAATCCCAGGGCTTCCCGTGCCAAGAAGACTTCAACGGTTGGCGTGCTAAGAATGGCTACAAGGACCTGCGTGACTTTATGGACCGAGCTAAGTATGTGACCTCGGTCACGCCTGGCGCCGATCAAACTTGTGGCTTAACCGAGCTGAAAGGCCCACCGCGACCCATTCCAAAAGACGGTGCGATGAGATCCACCGGCTACACGCATGACGGACCGTGCGCTATTTACCTCGACGATGAGCTTGTTATGGAGTATGATAACTGTCACGAGAGTATCCCCGGCAGGACGTACAAGATCGACTTCTCGTCCTGCCAAAAGAAAGGCGGCTGCACGCTTTACTGGTTCTGGTTGGGAATCCGTTTTGTAAAGAGCCGCTGGTCCTGGCAAGTTTATAAGGAGTGCATTTCGTTGACGGCCGGGGGAGGTGGTAATGGGGGCAACGTCAGTCGAGCTGACCACGCTGATTATGGTAGCGGTGGGGCTCAACGTGGTAATGACAATCAAGGCCGAAGCGGTGGTAACGGTGGTAACAGCGACCAAGGCGGAAAGGGCGGCAATGGCAATAAGAGCGGGAATGGTGGAAACCCATGGAGCGGTGGCGATAAAGCTGAAATTGGCGGGGATGGCGATCAAGATCGTTATCTAGACCACCACAGATGCCGCCGCCAGTTGCGGGTGTAGGTGTTAACATTCACCAGTCTCGCAGTATCGAGACCCACATGTTGCCATTGCAATGTTGAGTTTGTTCGTGAGTGTCAAATCAAAATAAATAAAACAAGCTTAAGTTGTCTGGAATTCAGTGGTACAACAAAAAACAATGGGTCTTCCACATAAATCCCGGCACGATTTCGGTACATGTACAGTAGAGTAGGAAATGCAAAACCATCAATGCTGGTAGCTTTTTACTACAACCGCATCTGAACAACCGCAATAGTGGAATGCCCAGCACTTAACTTCGTTGCAATTTTATTTACGCTCACTAAGTCAAAAGAACGGTCGTTTTTTAAACCAAAATCAAATACCGATAAAAAATTTAAACCCCTTGAACCCGAGAGCCTGGACCTTACACGTTACGTTCCTTTTCTTAACGTGGACCATACACGTTAAGAAATTCTATACTTGTGTTTTGTATATGCTCCTACAAAGGTCAAGTCAACGCGGGGTAGGTGATGTATCCAAGCTTCCCGCTGGAAGTGCATCGATGAGTCGCGCAGAAAGGACGCCCGTATAAGAAGTTAAAGGAGATAGACACGCGTGCCAAATCTCATATAAGTAATGGCAGGGAAATGACCGACACCACTCAAACGGTTTCATTTGAAGATTTGCCGGACAAGACTCAAGCCACAGTCATGGCATTCCGCGCTCGCTGGTGCGAGCTGAAGAAAGCAGGATGGACCTCGAAGAGACCAACCGGTCTCTCGGTCGACTTCACGTACCTGAAGCCGGGGAAGAGCAAGAAGGACATGCGCGGTGTCGACTTTTCGTTGAAGAAAACGAGTTGAAGCTCTACTTGGACGCTATCGATCGGGGTAGGACTACCTGTGCTCTTCTACTTGTTTGCTTTGCATTGACACGTTTTAATGTCGTAGCGGAGCTTACAGCAGCGTCCGAAGCCTGCCAGCAAAGTGACTCGCCACAAAATCCAGCTCCAGCTAAAGGTACGTGAGGCAGCTTGTATATACACGTTATCTTGACATTAATCATGTCTTTTTGCGTTAGCTTTGTGACAACCCGCTTACGCCCCGTTGCTGGCGTATCGTATATTGTCTGTGCTTCCTGCGATGCACTACCAGTAGTTCGGTTTGTTGGGTAACCCGTCTCAATGCAACTCACACACTCTGTAGGCCCCTCGCAAAGGTGCCGGGACTCTTGTCCCTATTTTATTTACTTCTCTCCTCAGCTCCTGTGACTCTGGCCTGTTGTGACTAGCAGCCGCGAACTCGCTCTCGGTGGCGTGCTATCACTCACCTGACTCACCCTCTCAACTCTCGACCTATTGCCACGGTTCTTCTCTGGGCCTTCTTTCCCGGAATACGCCGCTACTCAGTCTCACTTCTACGCTTCCGACTCGCCACGCGTCCGTAACTTGTCGAGCGTCCACTCTCCGTGCTCCTGTCCTTCTAATCCGCCCCCAGCACAACTCTGTCCACGCAAAGCACCGACGATATGGGTCCCATTAAACCTCGCTTACTAAAGCCACTTGGATTACGCCTCTGGCGCCTACCCTACGGCTCGCAGCCACACAGTAACTCGGAGGGTCCTCTCCTCCTGGTCTCGTCGCCCGTCGCTGTCGTTGCCCCACGCGTCCACCAATGCACTGACGACTGATCGTCCGTCCAATCGCACCTCTTCTCTCTCTTCTCCTTCTCTCTTCTCGTGTTGGTCCTCTGACCTCTTCGTGCACCCCACTCACTACCTCGCACTTCTCCGTACTCGCAGTTACTTCGCCTCTGTGCTCGACTGCGCAAATCTCGAAGGGAGATTCAATCTGGTGCTGCTCTCCGACGCAAATCTCGAAGTCTCACCGCTCTCCGTCTTCACGTCGCTTTTTCTCTGCACGTCGGGTTCGTGTTGCGATCTTTGGTCACTCCTGATTGGCTCGCAACTCCCACGCGTCGGTTCTGGATACAAGATCGCATTTGTGCGGTCCCCGCTCGCCACATCAACTGACGCCATGTAGCCGCTCACTTCACTGACGTACCCAATACCTCCCACGTGCTCTCTACTGCTTGACTCCTCGGTAATCACCGTCAATGCCCTATTACAGCTTGTATCCCTCCAGCACATGACACTGAAGAGCTACAGGAGAGTCCAGTAACGCCAAGGCGTGGAAGCCCGCGTCCTATCGCTGTGACTGCTCAAAGTGGTGACGTAACTTGGGCAGTGTCTCTTCACTCTATGGCGTGTGAAGAAACAGCTTCTGACGAAGAGGAAACTCTGACAGGCGAGTGTACCTGTCGTGTATGTACAAGAGCAAGTCGCAAGAGCGTATCAGAGAAGACGTGCTGAAAGCGGCGCCCATCACCGCTAGAGATCTGTGTGTATTTATCGGCCTCTTGATCGCTCGATCAATAACCCCAAACAAGGAAAAATTGGCAAACCACTGGAAAACGACTGATGAAGGGGCTATTTGCTTCGGGCAATTCATGACTCGCGATCGCTTCATGCATGTGTCGCGTAACCTTCACTTCAGCAGTAACAGCGATGAGCGTGCCTTCACTGATCGTGCTTGGAAGTTACGACCGGTGATAATAGCACTACAAGCGCGTTTTGCTGCTAGCTACACTGCACCTGCCATCATGGCCTTTGACGAAGCGATGCTACCCTCGAGATCTACTTTCAACCGTATGCGTGTCTTCATGAAGGACAAATAAGTGGGGCACTAAATTATTTATGCTCTGCTGTGCGAAGTCGGCATATTGCATCCGGTAAGTATTGGGCGTGTCTAAAGACACGTCCATATATTGTTTTGGCCCCTAAATTCTCTTATCATGTATAGTCCTAGCTGACATTAGCTCTGTGTTGTATGCAACAGTTTTGAAGTCTACTGTGGTAAGAAGGATAGAGCAGGAGTCATCAGCTCAACTGACGAGATGACAGGGCCAGCTGCTGTGGGTCGGAACCTCCGCAAAGTTTTTGGACCGAAACCACCTTCAGATGGAACTATGCGACTCGTTGTCATGGACAACTATTACTCGTCTGTGGCGCTGTCAATGGAGTTACTGACGATGGGCTTCTATTCTACTAGAACGGTGCGCTCCGACCGACTGGGGCTCAGTTCAGAGCTCTTCCCGAAGAAGAAAAGGCGTGGGACTAAGTCTCCTAAAATACCCAAGAATCGACCTGCAAACATTGAACGAGGGACGTTCACCACATCAGATGCGCTCCACGTTCCGAACATGCGATGTTTGCGGTGGTGGGATACTCGGGCATATGCTTAGCACGGGTGGTAGCGTGAAAATGGACCGCATCGTACGTCGCGACAAGCTGACTGGAAAGCAACAAGAAGTTGTGTGCCCTCGTGTTGTAAAAGATTATCAAACGTTCATGGGGGGCGTCGACGTGCATGACCAACTAAGACTACAAAGGTAAAGTGCTCTTATCGTGTCTATACAATCTACCTTAGCATCTAATCATGTATGTTCATCTTACAGATACTCGCTGCAGCTTTGCATCAAATTCAAGAAGTACTACAAGTCTCTCTTTCTTGGTCTTATTGACCTCGTAATTATCAACGCATACATCGTGTACAACGCTGCTCGTGCTGCTGCAAACCTTCCAAAGGTGAACCACGTCACATTTCTGAAGAAGTTGCACTTGGAGTTGTGCCAACTGCGCGAGGAGGACTGGGATAGTCTACGCAGCAACGAATGCTTCCAAGCGACACCTTCTAGAAGTGGCGATGCTACTGGCCGACGTCAACCCGCCTATCGACCGCAGCTAAATGACGAGTGGCGTGTTGGCAACATCAATAAGGGGAGGAAGCGACGAACTCGTGCGTGCAAAGTTTGCTCGATACTCAAAGGCACTGACGGAGCTCGCGGTGGCGACTCATCCGTGTACTGCAGTAAGTGCAAGCTTCCAAACTCGTCGAAGAAACCTCTGGCCTGGCGTGTTTTTCTTTGTGAGAAAATACGACATGTAGTGAATGGGAAGGCGATGAGCTGCTTTGACATTTGGCACAGTGCGTGGCGAAATGGGACGTTGGCACCTGCACCTACTGGGGCAAAAAAGCGAACGATTCGCGCGCGTGCGCCGGCGAAGAAGCACTCCAGTGAGGAGAGTGCTGGAGAAGGAGTTCAGGGGGATGATGAAGAAGGAGCCGAGGGCAGCGACGAACCAAATGATGAGTCCAATACGAGTCCCAGCCGTTCAAAGGGGCCCCGTCTTCCTGCCGGCCCTGTGATGACTGCCTGAGTAACCGTCTATCTTGATCTAGTTTCACTATTGATAATGCCGCGCAATACAACCTTGTTGCAGCTGTTGTTAGTGTTAGTGTTATGCACCTCTCTCACTCGACTTTACACTTTGACGCCATGACTCTACCACATACCAGGCTCAACTTTATTGAACGACCTACACGATTGAAGTACAAACGTGTATTGCTGACCAATTCAATAATGTACATACACGATAGCGAGTGGTGCCTCCTCTGGTGAATAAGTTTAGCTTGCGCCTATCCACAATACACGATAGCAATGTGTATATAATTTTGTATCGAAACCCTTACCTCATATACCCGTTAAATCAGCTAGGGTTTAGGGAGATGGAGGGCCAAACACCTTTCGGGCTCAAGGGGTTAAGTACAGTAGTAGTAGTAAATGCAAAAACATCAATGCTGGTAGCTTTTTACTACAACCGCATCTGAACAACCGCAATAGTGGAATGCCCAGCACTTAACTTCGTTGCAATTTTATTTACGCTCACTAAGTCAAAAGAACGGTCGTTTTTTAAACCAAAATTAAATACCGATAATTTGTTTTAAAACGGTTTTTTTATAGAGGTTTGCATTTCTAAACTAATAAATGAAACAACCATCCTATTCGAGAGCGAGCTGATGGAAATAAACTTCGCCCATAGCATCACCAAAGCGAAGAAGGGCACAGCACCGACCACCAGACACAAGACAAAATCTAGAGCGACCGATCCGATTGTAGTGTTTGCATTGCATGATTCTTATGCAGAGAATTTATATAAAACTCCTCGTGAGGCGGAGAGAGAATGGCATCCGGCATCGACATGATGCTTAAGTGCCAACAGCAGCAAGTACTTCCTGCTCTGGAACTGTTGTTGTATTGGATGCCGAAAGTCGATCTCTATCAATGGATCTATTAAAATCTTTGAAATTTATTTTAAAGATCTGATAGGGATTCCAGAGAAACCCTGCTTTTCAGATTTGATCTTTTAGTGGGTGGGTGGAATAAAAAACACAGGGAAGGGGTAATACGATGACATTTAACTCCAATACATAGCTAACTTAAATTTTAAACTTTTCGGGCTCGAATAATTCACACTCTCCACAAGGAATGTTGTCGCCGGATGGCTCCAGTAGCAGCAGATGTTGTTGATGGCTCCAGTAGCAGCTGCTAGCGAGGTTCAAGCTCACTACCAGCTGCTACTTCAATCTACGTGCCACAACTTCAAGGTGGCCAACCGGAACCTGCTAAGAGGACGCATTAAGAGAGATCAAGTTGTACGCATTAAGAGAGATCAAGTTGTCGTGAGTTGCGGCGCGTGACGCGCCGGCGTGAAGCCCGCGCGTTCAAGACGAAATTAGGCACGAAGTAAGTGGGATGATTGCACAACAGCTCCAGCTAGGCCGGCCGAGCCGGACTGGTCGTAGCTGGGGAGTACAGGAGTTCGTTTTCTTTTTAAGCTTCCTCAATTTCATTCATTCTGTCTTTTACTACACCTACAACAAGTGCGAAGATAACAAAGAATTCATTAGCTCACTTTGCTCTGGCAAGTGGAAGCGATGAGCAGTCCAGTTCACGGGAGCCGTGACTTGGCCGAAGGGGCACCTCTTTCACCTCGAGTGACCGTGGAAGATGTGGTAGTGGCGCAGCGTCAAACCCGAACGTTTGAGTCGTCGCTGTCGCGCAGCCTCCAGGCGGAATCGGAGCAGAAGGTCGATGAAGTTGCCAAGAAAGTTGAGGCAGTCCAGCAACTTACGGGCGAGCAGCTCAACCGGTTTCAGCAGCAACAGGATTCATTGGCATCGAAAACGGCTGAGTACTTGCAGCAGCAGTACGAGAGCCAAGTTGAGCTGAACGCCAAACAGACAGCATTGAGCGCGCAGCTTGAGGAGCAGCAGAGGGCACTAGTTGAGCAGTACCAGCTGATGCGGGAGGCCGCAGAAACAGTGGGACACCAAGGTCGTCAGATCGAGGATCTGAAGGTAGAGGTACTTTCCCCACGGGGGCAGAGCCGCTGGGGCTGGTTTGCCCGGAATGCGGGTAGAACTGCTCGTGGAGCTGATGGTGATGAAGCTATGACGAGTGGATACCTAAGTGAAAGCCGAGTCGAGCCGACAATCACCGTGGCGACGAGCTCGAACATGCCGTCGCCTCCTGTGATGGGGTCACACAGCACCTTGCGCTAGAGGAAGTTATCTTCCGAGAGTATACAAACTCTCAGTGAACGGCAGTTCACTGGTCCCCTCTTTAATTAAAGAGAGCGAAGTGACCTAAATAAGGTAGATTGTAAACTGAGTATATTTATAGGTAGGTTAAGTTTGGGTTTAATACAAACTATTAGTTACCTATAGAAATGCAATGTCATTTAACCAATTGTTGGCTCTGAACGACCTTGGTACCTTGTACCAAATATCCCGGAGTATGACGTGTCATACTCCTGAAGTGTGAAGTGTCACACTTCATGTAACCAGGGTACACTTAGGGCTACGTACCCCGTTACATCCTCCCCCACTTAGGTTCGGTTTACCGACCAATCAGAATGAAGTGGTGTTCGTCACAAACTCTCATTCTCAAAGTCGAAAACCATCGACTTGGCCGCGCGAGCGCGGCGGAGGCTCACTTCACAGCTAGAGCCTCGAGCAGCAACCTGTGCGCTCTTCGTCTAGGTCTCCACTTCGACCGTTATCATGCCTCGTGGCACTGCAAAGCGCGGTGCTAAGACACGCTCCAAGGCTGCTGCCGGTAAGGCGCAAGCCAAGA